ATGTTCCTACGTTATTCTTATATGTTTCATACTGTTGTGTGTACTTACTCTGTGCAGGCTCCCTGTTTGTGTGTCGCTGCTCATCTTTAATACTTTTGCCTTCTGGTGTGTTGTGTGCTGTGTTTTTATGTTTTTGAGTGTAGGAGAGGAAGGGGTAGTGGGGAAAGGGGCTACCGTTAATCTGTATAGATCTCGCATATTGTTTGAAAAATGGGATTGTGTGTTTCTGTGTGTCATTCATGTGTAGGCTATTCTTACTTACTTTGTATATATGGTATTTCTCTAGTGTATTCAAATATCTGCCCTTCTTTCCCGTTGTTACAACTTCCATTATGTCTCTTATTGTTCCGTATGAATGTCCCGTATTTACTATGTGATTTAAGTATTCGGAATTGCTATTATTATTTATAATATCGTGCATATGCTCCTTATATCTAGTGTTAAATGTTCGACCCGTTTGTCCCGTTTGTCGTACTTCAGTGGGCAATCCGCACATTTCATTTGGTATATGCCACTTTTATTGTATTTATCCAACTGTGGTTTATGTTTGAGTATATTTTCAGTTGTGTTCCGTGTGCGAAATGCTATCTGTGTGTCTTTGAAAAGTTTTGTGATTTTCCGTACTTCTTTTGTACTATATGTAAATATGGCCCATTTTGTATTTTGGTGTTGTTCATCGTGTGTGTTTGATTTCTGTTTTTGTCTTGTCTGATTTGATCTGTTAATTATGTTTATGTTGTATCCGTTGTTATGTAGTATGTTTTTAATGGGGTTCTTCTCTATCTGTTTTTCTTTTTCTGTTATTTGGTATGTGTAGAGTCTATTTATTAGATACCGTATTTACGCATGTATAGGCCGCACATTTTTTTGCCAAAAATTCAAGAGGAAAACTGGGGTGCGGCATATATTCGAAATATTCGAAATCACACACATTTTTTTCGTCAACGTCGAATTTTCTCCCTGCTGCTCGATTTCCGTGTTCTTGTGCGTAACGCACCACTTGAAGTTTAAATTTAGACATATAACCTGCTCTTACTCGACCCATGTTTCACTCAGAACTAACCAGGCAAGTCAAGTAAAGGCGAAAAGGTTATAACTCTCCCCCGCAATGCCTTTGTTCCGAGCGGTACCGTTATTTTCGCTAGTTGCGAACTTAGGAATGTTAAACGTTGTCAAATTTCGGAATAATTTCTACTCCTGAAATAATATTCCAAGAAAATTATTTTTTCTATAATTTCTGTCTGAAAATTGTGCTGCGGCCTATACACGCACGCGGCCTATACATGCGTAAATACGGTAGTTAATACATGACAATTTGTTCTCGAATGGATGGCACGAACTGTTAGGTATTATGATGTCCGTTTGTGTGGGTTTCCTATATATTGCAAATTGCAACCTATCTTCCTTGCGTTGTATTATTAGATTTAGAAAATTAATAGATTCTTGNCCAGGCAAGTCAAGTAAAGGCGAAAAGGTTATAACTCTCCCCCGCAATGCCTTTGTTCCGAGCGGTACCGTTATTTTCGCTAGTTGCGAACTTAGGAATGTTAAACGTTGTCAAATTTCGGAATAATTTCTACTCCTGAAATAATATTCCAAGAAAATTATTTTTTCTATAATTTCTGTCTGAAAATTGTGCTGCGGCCTATACACGCACGCGGCCTATACATGCGTAAATACGGTAGTTAATACATGACAATTTGTTCTCGAATGGATGGCACGAACTGTTAGGTATTATGATGTCCGTTTGTGTGGGTTTCCTATATATTGCAAATTGCAACCTATCTTCCTTGCGTTGTATTATTAGATTTAGAAAATTAATAGATTCTTGTTGTTCTTTCTCAATGGTGAAGTTTATAGTTGGTTGCAATTCGTTAATTTCTTAAAGAGTATGTTCTATGTTCGTTATCTTTTCATCATATATTATTAATATGTCATCGCTATATCTATAGTAAGCCACTATTGGTTGTTTTACTAGAATGGGATATATTTGTGTATGTTCCATATATTGTATATATGTTTGTGTTATTATTGCTGATGTTGGGGCTCCCATAGCTAGTCCATCTGTTTGTTTGTAATATTCTTGGTTAATTTGGAAATAATTTTGTTCAAATACTGTTTTTAATATATGTATTATTCCCTTGTGGCTTTCTGTATATATTTCTTGGTCGTCTTTAATATAGAGTTTATTATATCTATGGTATTTGTTTTCGGTATGTTTGTGTACATGTGCTCTGTGTCAAAGGAACATAGTCGCATATTGTCATTAAGTTTAATAGTTTGTAAATCTGTCATTAAGTGGGAGGAATTTTGGATATTGAATGTGTCTGGTAATTTTAGATGAACGTGAAATACTTTTGCTAATTTTCTTGCTATTTCGTAAGCTGGGGCATTCTTCGAGTTTATTATTGGTTTAATGGGTGTGTTAGGTTTGTGTAATTTTATAGTGGCATGTAGGCTTGGGGCTGTAGGATTCATGTTTGTGTATTTCCATTTAATACTTTGTATGATATTATTACACTGTTTCAGTGTTTGTTTTACTGCCCTTTGGTATCGGGTCGGATTTTTATCAATTTTTATAAATTGGTTATTGTGTATGAAGTTATTTATTTTCTGTTTACTTGTATATTCTTCTTGTGTTAGTATTACTAGTGTTTTTCCTTTATCTGCTTTCTTTATAATGAGTTTATTCTCTTTAATTTTATTTTTTTTATATTCATTATTTGCTTCCATTCTCTCTTATCTTTGTTATATTTCTTATTTTTATTCCTTTCATTATTATTCTTCTGTATATCTTTTAATTTCTTCACAGTTAGATGTCTATAATAATTTTGTTCTATTATTTCTAGGTTATTTATTGCTGTCGATCCATTTTTCATTCTTATGATGTAGATTATTTTTGAGGCCTTTGTATTTGTATTATTACATATAGAAGTGTATAGTGCAACAGGATGCTTAAATATAATAGAGCGTAGTCATTTTACAAACTCAAGATAATATGGCAGCATCTATAGGCGTATCTAACACTATTTCGTGTAACTTTTTGAATTGCTAATGTACATACGTGGTAGAGTCATTAAGTTCGTGGAATGTGGTTTGATCGCATCATATTACAAGATATTCACATACATTTACGCAGATCCACATGGGCCCTCAAAATAGTTGCCATTGGCCGCTATGCAAGTCTGCCAACGTTGATATAGCTGTCGGAAACATTGCAATAAATTCCCGTTCGACGCTTTGCGGCCATTCCACGAACTTATTGACTGTGGTAGTATATGCTATTATGGTGTCTCTTCGATTTTACTAGGTTCTGATACCTTTTAAGTGTACGCCATCGCAAGTGTTCTGTAATTTGTTAACTTGTCTGTATTCTGTACAATATGTTGCATCCATCGTATATATAAAATGTGCCATGCGTAAACAAAATGATTCTTCATGTTCACCGCTATGATAACTTCAGAAACAATTAATTGCGCCTTTTCACTACGGAACTATGCATTTCTTAGCTTTTGCTTTGAAATTATTTGTTCCAGACTGACGTACTCTAGCAGATATATTTTGTGGATTTATTTATCCTCTCTACAAAATACACGTGTTAAATCGCAACCATTCCGTTCTCGCCAGAGCATACATCATGGACGTGTGGCAGGTCTCGAGTACCTTGCTCTTTGGATGAAGTATTTGCATCCTCATGAATAAAAAGTCTGAGGCTTTTGTTCAAGGTGGCCGCATAGGCTAAAGATAGATTTCACCCCACGAGCAGTTGGCTTATACACACATATTTTGTTTTCTGCGATCTGATCTGAATTTAAATCGAAATTCGAACGAACTCATGATACTGCTCACAGGCCCCATTGTAATACCGAAGTTTTGTTAATGTTATATTTTAGCGTCCTGTTGCACTGATTTATGTCCATGATTTATTCCGACCGTCTTACAGTGCATACATTTATTCACCTTACTCTTCTCTCTTGCACTACATGTTTCAGCACTAAAGTGCCATCTTCAGGTGCTTTTCGATGTACGTCGAACTACTTCATTGCATGCATCGAAAAGCACCTGAAGATGGCACTTTAGTGCTGAAACATGTAGTGCAAGAGAGAAGAGTAAGGTGAATAAATGTATGCACTGTAAGACGGTCAGAAGATTTGTTGTTTAGTAATAAAGAAGTTGTGTCTCTAATAATACTGAAGTTGTGCTTCTAATAAAATCCATGGAGTACTACGAGTTTATTCCTGTTTTCTGAATTTTTAATGCTACTAAAATGCTAAATGAAGTTGGTCTGTTATAAATACAAGTGCTCCCTATACATAAGCTCCACACCACGAAGAGTTGTAGGGACGTGGAGGTAAACCCCAACGCATTCTTCTTTTTACTGCCAAATGAAGGTGAGCAGTCAGTTCGCTTCTTGCTCCGGCCACTTTATCCTTCAGGAAAGAGCCTCCGGTGTCTTATCTTCGGCTGGAAAGAAGGCTGCGTGATCATCTGATCGGATCTGGAGGCGGTGGCGATATCAAAAGTTCGGCACCTTTGAATCGAACCCTGCTTGCCCAGCCCGCAACTATCCGGACTCATTTACTTCTAATAATTCCACATTAACCCATTAAAGCTCAGTGGTTCCATAACTGAAACACTCCTACAGAATGTATCTGTGTGTTTCGTTGGTTCTCGCAGTACACAGCAATTGATTCCCTAAAGAGAACTAATCGGGTGGTCTTTATAGCGGAGACGTAATATTTTCTGTGAGGTAGAATCGGATTTTTTTAATGTGTTGCTTAGAAGTGCTTAAATTATTGTTTGACGTCCGAGTTGACCAGTTTGTGATCTGGGAGAACATACTGTTCACTACAAACAGACCTTCTAAAATGTGATGCAGTGCAGGAAGCTACCTCTAAATTTAGATGGCGGTGGGCCAGTAATATTTTGGTTTCGCATATTCCTCCCAAATGGCCTTGCTGATAGGCGCTGACGAGTAATTTCTAAGTGTCGAGCCTGAGTGTTTGTACAGTTTGCTTTAGAAGCCTGTACCAGTATAGAATGCAAATTATAGTTTCGTATCGTGTTTTGATTTCGGCCGTTTATTTATTTAATTTTGTTTAAAGACTTTCCTTGTGCTCTTGGTGATTATTCAGCGTGTCAAGTCACTGCCTGCTTTTACGGAGCCCGGAGGTTAATGACGTTATTCACTGAAATCCAGTTCACATTTCGACGACCTTTTCCTGTAAGATTTATTTAAATATCCCCGCATCTACGTCTTTGTCTCACACTTACTCTCTTCCCTTTACCTTATTAAACTTAAAGCTTGTTTGAATTTTTAGTTTCATCCATTCTTATCACATATTCTGTCTGTGTCATTGTTAAATTACTGAACTCTGACAAAATGAAGTGGATAGTATAGCAAATATACTGACATTGAAACTCGCTTCTTTGCAGGAGTGGTGAGGTCTGTTAGAAGCTTGCAGACACACAAACGAGAGGATGTCTACTCACTCTGCTGTGGACAGCCTCAGCCATCGCTCCCAAATTGGTAAGTCACGTAATCAAAAGTAAGGTGTGGTGTAAGCGGCCTCCGTAGTCTAGAGTTAACGTTCCACCTCATGACTCGTAGTACGCGGGTTCAAACCCGGCGGAGGTCGTGGAATTTTTAATGGCGGAAAAATTCAGGGAACAAGTCCTCCGGGAGGGACTTTAAGCCGTGGGTCCCGTGTCGTAGCTTTACAGCACGCAAAAGAACGTCATATCTCCTAAGGAGGTCACTGAGCCAAATTCAAGGACATTTCCCGCCCAACAGTAGTCTCTAACGCCTCTGATAGATGGGGGAAGCATTATAGATACCGCCAAGCCAGTAGAGGCCGAACTCGCTGGCTTGGTCGGGACTGATGGTAAGCACCAGTATCGGTAGGGTATAGAGACTGGTAGAATATCATAGAGGGAAGCACAATAGATCAAACTGGTCGCGGTGCATGGGGAAACCCACCCTCTCTAACTAACTAAGGTGTGGAGTGGTTCAATCTGGGAAAATTTTGTCTTCCTCTGGAATTACGTATAAGATGCGACAGTGCTTCTGAGTATGCAGAAGAACGATATGATTACTTCGTAATTTGCTAAGGGGGGGGTTGTAATTCAAGAGTTTAGGCCTATAGTTGAAGAAGCAGATAGATTGGACAGGTACATGTGTGTACGTTACACAGACGCAGTCGGTTGGTTTGAGTCACGGTGTGATATAGGTGAGAGTCATAAGGTCAGTAATGCGAAGCATTTAACTTGCCAGTGATCCCAAAATCCGTAACCTTCACCATGCACGCATGTATGCAGATATTAGGTTGGAAACCTCTCATACTTCATCTGTTGTGCTCTTGTCGTTTCGGCAGGTAAACAGGCGTTGTGTGTGTGAAATACATGTGTACATCTGTATGAGAGCCCATACTTGAGTGGCCGATTCCAAGCTATTGAAAAGGTCTGTCGGCACTCGAGTGAGCCACATATTGTGACGTTTAAAGAAATGCATCAGCTAAGGATGCCACTGCAACCGTCCCTCATTATGACAGCCTATTCGGTCAACTTACACGTAAAGAAATAAGTAACATGTAGTGTTCGGTTTGAGAAACCTCTTGGAAAACATTCATTTGGAAGCCAGAAGCCCCTACTTGAGTGGCTGGTTCCAAGCTGTCGAAAAGATCCATCGGGACTTATAATTGTCGGTGTTTGAGTGGTCCTCATACATTAACTTAAAAAGAAATGCTAGGACTGCCACGGGACCGCCTCTGTGGTCTAGTGGTCAGAGTTCCTGGCTACAGATCCAGAGGTTCCGGGGTCGATTCCCGGCGTTACCAGATTTTCTGAGAAGTACTGGGTCTGGAACGGGGTCCACTCAGCCTCGTGAGGATAATTGAGGAGCTATCTCAAGGAAATAGCGGCTCAGGTCTATAAAACCGAAATTAACGGCCGTGAGAATCTGTTGCGCCGATCACCCGACACCCTCTTTCCCCCAAATTTGGCACTAACTTCGCCGTCAAGCGGCGGTCGCTCGGTCGGTATAGTTTGCTTGCGGACTACAGGCCACGGAGTTTGTTTTTTTGTTTTACGAATGCCACTGCAGTCACCTCTAATTATGACAGATTATTCGGTTAGCCTACAGGTGAACAAATAAGAAATATAATATAATATAAATATAATGTTCAGTACCTTGAAACAAAATATTCTTTTTTATTGTGCTTATTTGCAGTCTACATCATTTTAGAGTATTGAGTAAATGTGTTGTAGGTGGTTGGCTTGCGAGGGAAACATCCACTGATGTTTCTCCTACATGTAGTCTATTTTATTGATTGATGATGTCTTGGGGCCGTGTTCTGTTCAGTCTTCTTGTCACTGGACCGTTGGTGTATAGCTGTTCTATTAATTCGTTGTCATGGTTTACAGATTGGGAACAGAAAATATGACAACAAAAGAGAAGCGTACATTTTATTAGCACATGTGATTTATGACTGATTATCAGGCAGTATTTGGTTGATTTCTTGTTGACATTAAAGCATTGTGTGAATGCTGAATGTGAATGTGAATGTGAATGTGCATCAGACTGTGTCAAGGTTAAGGTAGGCCGCATACCAGCGTCGTCAAGACATGTAACAGTCAAGACACGATGTCTGCGATATGACGCAAGGAAAGGAGCACAGTTGAAACGAACGAGATTATGAAAACGGCCTCACACCTGTCCGAGTCATGCTGCTGACGTCAGGTTCATGCTGACGAATCGCGAATGAAGCAAGGCTGCGTTTTTTGTCCCATGTCTTGATGATTATCTTGACGCAGTTGGTGTGCGGCCTCCCTAAGTATCAGATAGAGCGTTTTGTCTTCGTCTATCCGTGCTGGTGCAGCGGTGGATGTTATTCTGGAGGTACCTTGTTTGAATTTGGGGCACCGTTACCTGCTGTCATGCTTTGCTTTTCTCTGGGCCAGTGTTTTTCGGGCTCTTTTTTCTTATTCCCCCCCCTTAGCGAGCAGCTTGTAGTTACATCCCGCAACCTCCCTTGGTTCGAAGAAGCTGATTCGTTTTATTATTACCTGATGCCATTGAACTATAACATTTTTATTTTACGAAAAATTGTGCCCCCCCCCACAATATCGATTCCTTTGAGGGTCGTTCCTTAAGTTTAATAACCATTGCTGTCGTCGAATGCCACTTCGGTACTTTGAAATACTGTAGTACCGCCTCCTCCCATGTTCTTCACTATTCACAGTTTATCTTATCATATGACTGCATATGATCTCTGCACTCGAAATAGCGACGTCATATACAGGAATTGGTCTAATATTATACGAAAATCGTATTTATTTCATAGCGAGCTGAGGAGACAACGTTTGAAAGCTAAGGACTTCAGAATTTGGCTCCCTTGTGACAGCTGAATGTTGATTTTATTAATATTATTTCAACTTCTAATCTCCAGTGGCGAGGCTCATGCTTAAAGCAGCCATTCCGTTAACAAGGCTGTGAACCTCTCGTAACCGTCCATGCTGAAATGCATAATTATACTGTCTTTTTTTTTGTGGTTCCTGTGTAGGTCATCGGTCTACTTAGTGAATTTCTGCTCTTCGATAATTATGAGCTTCTGTGTTTTAATTGTGTATGATTGATTATGTCGTGGTGCTGCCACGTTTACTGGACATTCAGGCGGTAGTTGAAGATTATGACGAGTGTTTTGTTCGCTATTGTTACTGAAAATGTAAATTTCAAATTCTGGCAATGTTTTTGGACGTCACTGGTTCTGAATCATACACTGCGATGCCGGCAATGACTGGCGCATATAAGTAGGTTTGCGTATTTATATGCACGTAGTAGAATTTTGCATGTTTTCAGCAAAGAAATTTGCATTGATCAAGGAATGAAGACATTGAAATAAATTTTTAAGAACGAGGCTGCCATCTCTAGCGCCGTAGTAAATGGATCTGAGATTAGCAACAGAGTATACTTTCCTCCCCCCTCCCTTCTGCAGTTCATTGTATAGGCCGACAGATAAATTCTTTCCGGAATTTCCCTTTTTTAACCTTTATAGCGAGTAGGTATACTTATGTCTCACACGCATGTATTGAGAGTGTCGAAGAAATACGTAACTGCTTATTATAAGAAGCGGCCCATTTCATAATGTTCGGGTCTTTTCTCGATGAGCACTAAGACATAAAAGTTCTTCGCCACGAAACTTTGTGATGGTCTACATACTGCATTCCATGTAGACCAGCTTTAATTAAATAATTGTCAATGCTAGAAATTACGTTGTTATATGAACTGCAGGAACAAATTACCACGAAACATTACGGTGGTTTATCTACCGTTTACTTATGTACTTACGTAGTACTCACTCACGTATTTGTCAAAGAAAAAGACGATATGTGAGCTGGGAAAGCTCAGTATAAACAGTGATTGAGAGAGGCAGTCTAGGTTCTATTCATGACAGGGGCAGGCGTTTTGTTCTTCGCCGCCCTCTTCACACAAGCTTCCGGCACATCCAATATAATTGGTACCGAGGCCGACTTCTCCGGGGGTGTATCGGTCGGAGCGTGGAACTGAGTTATCACTAGGACCCGGATCTTTATGCGCTAAAATCACTTAAAATATGCACTAAAACATTTAAAATATGCGCTAAAAAGCGGGAAAATATGCACAAAGAAAAACAAAACAATATGCATTTAAGAAACAGGTCACTTCATTCAGACTCGCCTATTTACATGTATCATTCACTGCAGAAAGTAGCATCACAGTAGGCAACTAGAAGTCTTTCAATGTTTTTCTGGAAACAAACTACGTCTATTGTCTGTCAAAATGAGTTTATAGGCTGAGAATTATCTTTCTACATCAACTGACGTGATTGGACAGTATTTATACACTGGTGCCGAAGGTTCGGAACATTCATCTGGCAAAGCTACCCTAATTCCACTCATGTACTGACTAATTGACTGAATCTTTTTTAGTCCTGGATTCGAATTCAACACCATTTCTAACTTGCATTTAATCTTCTCTCCAGTTTCGCCTGGAGCAGAATTCAGTGAACAAGTTGCTTTCTGAAAGAGTTCAAGTGAGTCGTGAAGGAGAGCACCACAAGATGCTAAGCTCTCAATGCTTTTGAAACTGTAGAAAAATGTGCATGGATAACATTCACATCTTGATAAACAGTATCACTTCCAAACACCACCTTTGCTTCACGGACACATGCACACTAATCTTCAAGTTTTGTAACCACTTCTTTTACTTGATTTAAATTCTCCTGATAAAATGAAACTGCGGATAACCATGCCCCCCACCTAGTTAGGACAGGTTCAGGTGGCAGAGGAACTTGAGGTAGGCAATCTTTGTAGATCTGGACACAAGCTGGTGCTTTCAGAAACGGTTTTTTCCCACGTGCAATGAAATCGTTAACAGCTGGAAACTGAGCGCGTATTCTTTCTGCAATACGGTGTAATCCATGCGCTAAACAGCTTACGTGTATAAGATTTGGATAAAATAATTGTAAGGCCTTTGCTGCTTTCAACATATAG